CAGCCTCCTGAGTGCTGAATTACAGGTGTATACCACCTACCTAGCCCTTAGTTTCTTTTTTTTTTTTGGTACTGGGGATCAAATTCAGGTCCTTGTACTTGCAAGACAGGTGGCGGGACCACTGAGCTAAATCCCCAGCCCTCCCGGGCCAATGTTTGTCTTTTATAAATGAATTAAACATTTTCATTTATTTTTTTTATTGTTTTTATTTTTGTAATCCTCCTTGACATTTCCTATTTGTTTTGTCACATTTCCCTTTGTTCACTGTTTTATAAAACTCTTCTCAGATTATATGATGTGCCAGCTTAGGGCAAACAATAAGACACTGAAGAGCAGAGGAGGTAAGATATAAAACACCAACCACAGCCTCCTGAACAGTTATAGAAGCAAGCAAGGTCTATATCGGCCTCCGTGTTTTTTCTTTATTCTGTCATACAATGTATGTTCATGTGCCTCTATGAAATATTTCAACCAATTTCCAGAACGCTCTGTTTTTCCCTGCTGTCCCATATAAGATATATTTGTTGGGGTAAACTTCATAATTAGTTCTTGGGTTACAGAATATCTACTTGACATTTGTTTGACTGAATTAGAAGAACAATGAACATCACTGTGACATCGTGATTGATCTGACTTCTCATTTTCCCTCTAAAGCAGAGTGTGTGTGCATGTGCGTGTGTGTGTGCATGTGTGTGTGTGTGTGTGCGTGTGTGTGTGTGTGTGTGCGTGTGTGTGTGTGTGTGTTTTGTACCGGCTTTCGAACTCAGGTCCTTGCAGGCTATGGAACCACTGAGCTAAATCCCTGACAAGTGTGTTTTTGTTTAAATGAGAGAGGTCAAGCGGGAGAATGGTGGTGTTGTAATTGTTACAGTTTATAAGTATGACTGTAGGTGTCTATATAAATGTGGAGCAGTAAGAAGGTGCCATTGCAGACACAGTGATTGAAACTCGGTATCCATTCTCGGCCTTCTTGTACATATCTTTTTAGTGAAACCCACACTTTCCAGATTCCCCAAAGGTACTAGATGCAAATTGGGTTCTTCCAATAAAATGCATAGTGCCATATTTTTCTGCAGCAGTTTTGGTGTCAGCCACTTGCTTTGTAGGTGTCGGAAGGGTTTGCTGTAGAGACAGTGGCAGTCACAGCAGATGGATGACAATTTAAATAATGTGTGTTTAAAATCCAAAGTCCAAGGGCCTGGTTGTAGCTCAGTGGCACTGCGCCTGCCTCACAGGAGCAAGGTCCTGAGTTTAAGCCCTTGTGCAAAAAAAAAAAAAAAAAAAAAAAAAAAGTGCTGCTAAAGTCCAAAGTGGAATTGTGGAATCTTTACTGGGTGCTCTGCTTCACAGAACCCTGACCATCCAATGATTATGATAGCTAATCTATATTATCCTTTTCTGTTTATATTGTTTTTTGATTAAACTAAAAATTCCCAAGTTTTCCAATTTTTGCAGGTTAACCTTATTTTAAAGAAGTTATTGAAATGTCATTTAGGATTCTGTCCACTGGAGGGGGAAGCCTATTAATAAATCCTTCAAATTAACTATTCTTGGGCTGGGGATTTATAGCTCAGCAGTTCGGTGGCCTGCCTTGCAAGCGGAAGGACCCGAGTTCAATCCCCAGTACCAAAAAAAAAAAGCAAACAAATTAACTACTTGGTTAGTCTCTGCATAGGCTGTGAAATGTGGTCAAACAAGTTATTCTATTCTTGTATTTTATTCATTGAACCCAGAGCTTTCGCACTGAGCTACATCCCCATCCCAACTCTATTTATTTAGAGACAGATTCTAAGTCACTAAGTTGCCAGGGCTGGGCTTCAACTTACAGTCCTTTTGCCTCAGCTTCTCGAAGTACTGAGAATGCAGTTATTTTTTCCTTAAGGAAAACAACTCCCGCTCGATTCATTCCTGGCTCAACATATCTATTGCACAAAAATTTTCATGGCCAGGCTCTGATGTTTGTTAAATAACTGAACAGGAAAGTCATAATGATTTCTGATGATCAAGATGTTAGTTTTCAACATTTTTATTTTCCAAACTTTATTTTAAAAGTACACTAAAAGCATTAGAAATACAAATCTGGCCTAATGGTTAACATAAGAACAATTATAAAATATTTTAAAGACATCACATACTTTTGCAACACAGGTAAAGAGATGAGAACTAATTATTATACCCTGCAAGTTAATCATATTCAATTAAATGCTCATTACTTTTAGCTCGCATTTTAGCCCTTATGAAGAAACAAGTTACATACATCTATTTATACCTATACAGCTATAGGTATAGATAAACATATAACTTGTGAAGAGATGAGTTATATCTACATAGATATAGATATGGAGGGAGCTAAGAACATAGCCCACTATGTGTTTCATGCAAGTTAAATCAATAATGTCTCCATGAGCACAAAGAAACTGAATATTGTATATGCACATGCTAAGTTTTCTTTATGCTCTAAGTTTTACTTCCCCAAATGGGCCCCATGCTGATCAAATCATCTCAAACTCACAGGTCACACAGGAAATCTGACATTTAAAATTTTACAAGTAGAAAAAAAAATTTTACAAGTAGAAATTTACTTTTGTTATAACATTTTATTAAATTACATTTGAAATGCCTGTCCAAAAATATCTATCTATATACATATACATCTTAAAAAGTGTGAAATATCTTCTTGATTAATCTTATTAATTATAAAGTTGTTTGGCTTACTGTAGAAGCACTAGGTTTTGAATTAAGACAAGAGTCTAATTCTTAATTTGCCACAACACTTTGAATAATCTTTGGACAGGATATTATATTTCTGGGTTCTTCGTTAGAGAGAAGTAATATACTAACCTATCTCGTGGGCATCTTAATAAATGAGGACAGTGTATTAAAAATACAAAACCACAATTGAAACAGGTAGTAGTGACTTCCAAAAATAGCTTTCAATTACAAAAAAAGTGAGACAGTGATTATGTTCTCTTCTGTTACAAAATTTAATAGCAAAAATAAAAGAAGGGAGAGAATGGAGGGAGAGAAAAGTCTTACAAGGTGAATTTAATAACAAAATAAAACTTATAAGTCAACCTTGATTCTCAGAAGTAGAAGTGGCTGATGAAGTCTGGAAGCCAACAACTGCCAGAGGAGCAGAGGTCCGGTTGAAAGTCTGTCCTCTTCCTCAGGCCTCCCGGGACCTCTACAGGTGGGGACAAGCCTGAGGGAGGGCTCTGTGAATTGAGTACCTTTCATTCAAAGGAACAAAGTACATTCTGATGTGCAGTAGTAATTCTTGGATATCACATTTTATAAAGACAGGTTTTGTATCTTGATGCTTGAGTCTAACAGTTATAGTTCCAAAAATTCTAGTGAGTTCAAATCCTGTTTAATGAAAATACTTTTACATTAAAAATATGAGTTCACAGTTGTTAGCCTAGGAATCATACAGAATATAAGAAAATTAGTTTCAGGTATAGAAATACTTAATCTTTTTGCCCATTTCCAGTTTCAGGTTAGTAGGAGAGAAAAAAAGAGCTTGACTATAGATCACCTTAAGAATTTTTCTACCATTGTAATATATTGTATTTTTTGTTTTGTTTTGTTTTGGAACCAGGGATTGAACTTGGGTCCTTGCACTTGCAAGGCAGGCTACCAAACCACTGAGCTAAATCTCCGGCTCCAATATATTGTAAATAAACACAAAAGTGAGTCATTTCTGAAGTTACTTAAATACTGTCGAGTGGTTAATAAACTTTCCTCATACAGAAGGAAATATAAAACCCTCCCAATCATATCTCTATCTCTAAAGATTTCTAAATGCATGACAGTGGTTTCCATGGACTACCCTAAAAAAACTCTTTCCTAAAGCAATCACATAGCACCTGCTCTCCAGAATAATGTGCCTCTGCTGTAGACGCAGTCCTCTGTGCTAGGAGTCTTAATAAGGTCATCCCAAAATAGAATAATTCACTCATAACAAACAAAAACAACTTTTTTTTTCTTTCTTTCCTTTCTGAGACCAGGGATCAAACTCAGGACCTTCAGCTCATGAAGCAGGCACAGCACCCCTGAGCTAAATCCCCAGCTCAACATCTTCCTTTTTTTTTTTTTTTGGTACTGGGGATCGAACTTGGTTCCTTGCACTTGTGAAGGCAGGCAGCAGAACCACTGAGCTAAATCCCCCACCCAACATCTTCCTTTTAATAAAATAATTACACAGCTACTTAACTGACACAAAATAAAAATATCTATAATAAGAAATGGCAGAGCTGGGGATGTAGCTCAGTTATAGAACACTTACCCAGCATGCATAAGGCCCTGGATTTGATCCTCAGTACTACAAAAAGAAAGGAAAGAAAAGGTGGGTACACAATTGCACTATACTCCTATATCCTTCATTGCAAATCTTATAAAAGGAAAATACCTACTGTCTGTGAGTATTTTGGATAAGGATAGAAGTATAGGAAATATATTTCTGGTTTTCTGATTAACAATATGTTATTTGTTCTAATCAGTCTCCTATGAAAAAGTGTATTATTCTTTATTTCAGCACTTCAAGTAATCAAATTTTATATTTTTATAAAAATAACACCCCAGCAAAAATCATGCTTTAAAAAAATTTTTTTTAAAACCTGGCCATAAGACACACATGTGTAAATACTGAATAGTTTCTCTTGTGTGAAAAACTAAAAGTGTAAATAAGATCCAAATTGTACATCTGACAATGTGAAATAGGAAGAAAGGGGCTAAAGGGGTAGGGGAAGTGGAAAGGGTAGGTGAAAGGAAAGAAGGGAAAAGAAAAAATATGAGAAAAGGAAAAAATGGAAACAAAGTCTTTGTAAATAGGGGAAATGGGAGGGCGTAAAGGGAGGGCAGGGATATGGGGAAAAATGAGAACCAAGATCTGTCATGTAAAGGTACAAGATCCCAATGATGAATGTAACTGTACTGTACACTTAAAAAGTAAAGTACCAATAAACTCAATGAAAAAATAAATAAAAAAAAAATTAAAACCTGGCCAGAGCTGAGGGGTAGCTCAGTGGTACAGTGCAAGGCTCAAGGTTCAATCCCAAGCACCAAACAAAACCAGCCAAACCATACAGAAAAACTCCCCAACATAAAAATCCAGCCAATATGTACTTTGAAGACCCATAACACTGATTCAAAGGATTGCAATCAATTGATTTTCTAATTTGACATAGTATCCTCATTCCTAGCAGCTCTTTAAAGGTTCAATATAAAAGTTTGGGGGATAGGTCAGGGTGAAAACTTAAATAAACATTTACACTAAATCTTAAAATGTCAAGAAATTATAGAGCAAATCAAGACACCAATATTTTAGACAAAAGAAAACCTTGATCTGCCAAATCTTTAGCTGAATTTTAAGCTGTGATCTGACCTCAAAAGCTTTCTAAAACTCAATCAGTATTAGAAACAAAAACTATTTATGCAAGACTCTCCAGCTTCCATAACTTTAGACAGATGGGACTGGAATCTGCTTGGCCGAAGTGCTATCATACTCTTGCATTAGATCATTGGTAGTGTGATAATGCATGGCGATGTACGAATTGGCAAATGCAAAAGAGTTGACTGGCTGTAAGTTTTGTGGGCTGCTCTCCTCCTGGGAAGGGCTGCTGTTATAGATGCTGTAGTATGGTTCGATCCGAGTATTAATGGGAGTTGAGCTGCTCTGACCACAGTGTTGATGTCCAGCTGAGATCTTGGGACTTACCACACTTTCCTTTGAATGACTTGGGCCACAAGCTTGGTCTACAAATTTTTTCTGTGGCTTTGGAGACAACATGTAGGCAGAATTTGTTTCATGATGGGATGATTTGTTCCTGTTGATTTCAAGGTTGCCTTTACCCATGGCTCGTAGTCGAGTCTTCTGTTTGCAGCAGAAAAGAGCCAAGCCAATGTACTGCAAGCACCAGAGTACTTTCCTTCTCAGCCCTGCACTGTTCCGAGAATATATAAAAGGATTTAATCCTGACTTTAAAAACATAAGGGTAAATCCAAACAGTTCAAATTGGTAGAGGATGAAACTCCCATTGTTGGACAGAACCACCTGCACCAAGGCAATCCCCAGCGGAAGACAGCACACCAGGACTGACAGCACAATGATCACACAGGTGACCACGGCTTTAGAATCCTTGGCAGTGGAGAGGTTGATGGCTGAGACCAGCTGCAGTCGGCTGGCGGCAGGGGTTGGCAGCTGCTTGGGACTCCTGGTGTATCCGTGGGTCTGAACATGCTGCAGTTTGTTGTAAGTTTGATTCCTGTATAGGGCTGGCATGGTACACTGGATGGGATCTCCACCCACCTTCACAGAGGCCCCCACAAAAGGCTGTGGTCTGGAAGCATCCATGGTGATGACAGGGGGACACTTTCTAACTTGTGCATTCTTCCGCAGGGTCTGAGCAATCATAATGTAAGACACAGACACCACAGCAACACAGATGGTGAAGTCAACCACATAGAGTGACAGGATTGCTTTCCCTTCTCTTGCCATCAGACTGGACATGGGCAAGCAGAGATGGGACTTACTAGTTTTCAGGGTAGCCAAGGTGGCAAGGGTGAAACTGGTGGCCCAGAGCAGCAGAGTGAGGAGCAAGGTGCAGGGAAAGGAAGCTGTGCGGTTAGGCTGTCTCCCTAACACCATCCGGAGCCGGTGCAGGGCGATCACTGCCACCGTCTTGAGGGACATGATGATGAAGCCTGAGCTGGTGAGGTGGAAGGTGAAACAGAAAGCATCTGGGATGCCCCTGGCTGAGCGGACAAACAACACGAAGGTGAACATGGGTGCTGTCACCCCACAAATGAAGAGGTCACAGAAGGACAGGTTCAGGATCAGGAAGTCAAAGTTGGTTCTGAATTTTCTGAAAGCTGGATCAAAGAAGGACAAGAAGACAATGAAGTTGCCATAAGAGCCCAGGCAGAAGATGACGGCGAGCAGGAAAGTACAGGTTCCTAAGGTGGCCATGTGGATGAGGTCCTGGAGCTCCTCCTGGACAGCTGTGCTATTACCTCCCTGGGAGTGAGGTGCCTGTGAGGAGGTGGCATTGGGAGCATCCCGAAGAGGGTCTGTTGAGTTCATCTTCAGAGAAAAATGTTTCTTCTTGCTGTTCTCCAAAAACACCCAGTGGGAAAGGAATCAGTGCCTCAACTCACAGATGAGCGACACGTGACGAGAGAGGCCCAAGGCAAACAAGCCTGCACACAGAAATGCACACCCAGCAACAGAAAGGGATTAATGTCAAAACACATAGGGATAAATATAGCGAGCTCATTATTATTATTTTTTTACAAAAGCATTAGAATTTTTCAGCTATGTCTGGGTGTATGAAAAGCATCCCTTCACAAAGTTTAATACAAGAAATACATACAAACACTTCACAATCTGTTCGTCCAACTAATTTTTAGTCTTATGACAAAATGGTTTCAAACAAGTTTATGTTATCATCTGAAAAGTCATATTTAAAAGTTTAAATACCTCCAGGAGGGCAGAGTTCTGGGCTCCACCCCTGGAGATTCTGATTGAGGGTGTGCAGATATTTCTTTTAGACACACTTCCGTGACAAGCACTGGGAATCAGAGATCACAATCTAGTTGGAGGAAATGAACCTGTGTATTTGCAGTCTAATGTAGCTGTTAGGTGCTATGAAAGTCGGAAGAGGTAAGCCAGATCCATTTAGGGAGGAGCTGGGAGAGGAGCTAGCTGGGTGACTGGGGAGGGGAAGGTGAAGGATGGATCAGCTGGGAGGAGGAAGGAGTTCTCTTCCACAGAGGCATTGAGGCAAAAAGCAGCAGGTGGATCTGTATAAGCAGTTGGGTATTGTTGATTCAAATGAGGCCCTTCATATGATGTCTATAAATCACCAAGATCTCTATCTCTTTCCCTGGTATCTTAGTTATTTTTCTGGTTGCTCAGGCAAAATACCAGATACTCAAAGGAGGAAAGGTTTATTTTTGCTCACAGTTTGTAGAGGTTTCAGTTCATAGTTGACCAGCTCCAAGGCAGGGTGGCATGGCAGAGGGGCATCACAGAGGAGAAAAAGTTCATGGCAGGCAGAAGGCAGCAAAAGAAGGAAGCAACGAGTACTCCTTTCTTTCCCATATATTCTTTTTTTTTTTTTTTTTTTTTTTTTTTTTTTTTGGTACCAGGGATCAAACTCGGGTCTTTGCACTTGTGAGGCAGACAGTAGAACCACGGAGCCAAATCCCCAGCCTTTCCCTTATATTCTATCTAGGCTACACGCCCTTAGGGTAGGTAACCCAGGGTGGATCTTCCCATTATCTACACCCAAAACTATGTCAAACCAATCCGTGGACTAATTTAGTTATCATACACCCTTGCTGGGGCTTTAGCTCAGTGACACCACACCTTCCTCACAAGTGCAAGGTCCTGAGTTCAATCCCTGGTACCAAGAAAAAAAAAGAAGAGGGAATATAGTTATCACACACCCTTGATCCCTGCATCACACACTTAATCCCAGCATCAAATGATCTAGATACACCACCTCTGTAAAGCCCCACCTGTGAATGCATGAGGAACATCTAGACACAGGCCATAACACCTATGAAAAAATTTTACTTCTTAGTAATTCTTTCTTTTCCCAACTTGAGATTTCTTGGCTAACTGTGTATCTCTCTTTGGAAGGAAATTGTAGGACTGTATTTGTGAAGGTAAAAATCAAAGTAATAAAGAGTGTTTGGAATTGCTTTCAAATTCACAAGGTGCAAAGAAGAAGGGACTAAGAGTGTAGCTCTGTGGTAGAGGGTTGCCTAGTGTGCCTGTGCCCCTGGGAAAGTGGGATTGGGGAAAGGATACACAACAAGGAAAGAACCACTCTGTAAACACTAAAGTAAGTAAATGTGAGCTTCCATTATTGCAACAGGAATATCTGCGTGAGGAAACAAGAGGCACATACTTATTCCTGCATTCATTCCTTCAAGCTACCTTAGTTATATGCACACCACAGGCCAGTACTGTGCTATATGCTCAAAGTACAAAGGTGGTTAAGAAACAACCTCTACTTTAAAAGAACAAACTTTCTGCTCTGCCTTGTTTTTCTTAACCCCCTTTTCGTGTATTATGCAGCAAAATTTAATTTACACTCACAACAATCTTCTACCCTGTCCCAAATCCCAAAGACCTGTGTGGCTTGCTGTCCATCCTGCTCCTTTAAAAATGCTTCCAGCTGGAAGACCAGTTTATTCAGTACAGTGCTCTTGACAACTGAGAAGCATTTGCTTTAATTCAACATTTTAGGAGCAACCCATGGCACTGGGGAGGCCAGGGCTAATGTTCAGAATATTTAACCACTATCTCAAGCCAGATCCCACAAGCCCGTGGCGGTCACCCTTTAGTTGCTGGATCAAGGGAGTACAGAATAGGCCAAGTCAGTAAAGGGTTCCAGGGATTCCAGGTAATAGTTGTGAGTGGACTATCTGGAATGTAAGTCTCTTGGCAATTAACAACTGGCATGGCCATGTCAGTGGGTGTCAGACAAGTACCAGTCCTGAGAAAGAGAGATCCATACAGCTAACTGGTGTCTTTCATTAAGGAAGAGGGTAGCCTCCGCTACAGTTTGAATGGTCACACAGCACAGATGATTACAACATAATGAATTTCTCCATTGGAAAGTGAGACTATTTTGCACTTTCCTCTAAAAATGTTCTGTGGGGATGGGATTTAGCTCAGCGGCATTGCGCCTGCCTCGTAAGCACAAGGTCCTGAGTTCAATCCCCAGTATCAAAAATAAAAATAAAATAAAAATGTTCTATGAGAGAGAAAAATATAAATATTGAACTTCTGTGTCTTGGCGATTAGAATAATAATGAGTAGCTCTTAATGATTTCCAAATAAAGATTGCATTCTTATTTCTGAGCCCTTTTGATATCTTTGTAATGAAAAAGAAAACTTTTTACTGTTTATAAAAAATGTTAACTGGAGGATTGGGGTTAATTTATGAAAAGTAAAAGTAAAATCTCATTTGAGGAGACAGGAAAAGAAGAGATATTTGTGCCTTATAGCAACCCCTTTGCCCTCTAAGCAAGTATTTTCCCAGGAAGCAAAAAAGAACAAAGAGGAAATTGGTCTAGCAAAATCAAGAGGATGAGAAACCTGGAATCAGAACATTAAGAAAATAAAGAGTGGAGAAACAGTGAAAAAGTAGAATGATGGAAATTAGGAAGATTCAAGGCCTAGGGATAATTGGAAAGGAGCTGTTCAGGGGATAATGAAATGAGGCACTGCGCTGGGAATTTAGTCAGTGGCAGTCCGCTTGCCTCACAAGTGCAAGGTCCTGAATTCGATCCCAGGTACAAAAAAAAAAAAAAAGGCACAAACA